GAGTTGTGAATCCTAGCAGTAGCAGAGTGGGGTTTATTGTGAATTTTGTGGAGGCTGTTGAGTACCAGATCTTTGATATTTTAGCCCATAAGGCTTTTATCCTGGAGCAAAGGAGAAAACAATTGAAAAGGTTCAACCATTGATTCAGGGGGACTGCTAGATATAGTATTAGCCATCGAAGGCTTCTGAATTTGGGGGGGAGTAGGGATGTTATTTTGTTCCAGGGTATCTGGTCTAGATATTTTGGGGGTACTTCTAGATGTTTCTACCAGTATTCCACTATGACGGACTTGGTGGATGCTGATCTACATCTTAGTTGGTAACCAAGGCTAGTTGTGTATTGTAGTAGGTTAATTTTGTGGTTGATTATCGAGATTTTTGTTTGAGCCTCCATGCCCATTCTGCTGGATCTACCTTTAGCTCCTTTAGCCCGGTTTGTGCATAGAAAATGATAAGTTCATCGTTTTCTACTATTCTGATTTTCATAAGTTTGTCTTTTCTAACGGATATCTGTGTTGTTGGTTCTTTGCTTACCTTGTTGACGTCCACCTGGTACTTCTAGCTTATGCATGGTGTAGGTGTGTCAGTTGTTTCTTCCTTCTTCGCTTCTTGTGAAGGCCAGCGCATATTCATGGGATGTGACGTGTGTCATTACTGCCCAGTCGCCTATTGATCATTGTCTATCTTTTTTAAGTACTGTTACCCAATTCGTTTTGTTTTTTGTGTCCTGCGATGGGAGCGAACGGGGTGGGCCTCAACATGTCACTTGGCATTCAGCATACGGTGCATGACCGTGCGGACTGGGAGTGGCAGTGTTTTGTGTCCCATTTAAGGCTTTTGCTAAGGGAACGGGTTGGCCGTATTGGTCCGTATGGGATGAAGAGGGATTGTTCTAAAATTTCAAGCTTTCCACAATTAGCCTCCACCGCCCCCTTTAACCCGTCGGCCCCCCCACCTACCAGAGACGTTAGTGTCGTCACACGCCCAATGCAAATGTCACGATTCAAACGTTTCATAGTAGACCTCGCGTTTGATCAACGAGGACTATCCACGCCCCTCGTTCTTGTCTGCTCGATCTGTTCTCACTGATGCGTTGCCACCAACTTCCCTTCATAACTTCGAAGTGGCGGTGAAATAACGGACATTTCACCAAAACAATCAACGCAGAGGACCGCTGTTGTTGTCGCTAGCAATCACACTTTTCTTGGAATCTCTTTTTACCACGCAGAACACGGCCTCGCCTCCTCCCAAACCACGTCTCGGTCAATACAAACGTCCAAAAGACTCAGAAACCGTGCGCTCTTCTCACATTCGTGCGGGTTGACGGTGCGCACGTCTGATCTGGTGTCGGGGCAAATACCCTGACAATGGTATTTGTTGGGGTTTTTCAACGTCGGACGCATACCCGCACCGACGATCCCGGCCATCGCGTGCTAACTCCCACCACTGTGATCGTCACCCCACTATCGTAAACTCGACACGGTTCACCTAGATCCCACAGTCTGTCGTGGCGATCCAGCGCGCAACCGGCCAGTCTATCGTCAGCCCGACAGGACTTTCCGACTCGCTTCAAACACTCTGCCTAGCCACCGCTTCCCGGAAGCTGGCTTGAGAGTCGAGAACGTAAGAGAGATTTGCGGGCGCGCTTGCGGGTTTTATAGTTGCGAGAAAGGAGATAGAAGGGGGAGAGAGCGACGGGAAAGATGAGGTGTAAGAGGAGAAGCAGGAGGAGAAGACTTTGAGGAGAGTGCTCTACGAACGCCATGCTGATCCCTCGGAACTCAAGGTTCAACCAATCAGATTCGTCGTGCGATAGGAAGGTCCTATCGATCCACGCACCTGATTGGCGAGCGGGAGTTATTGGGGGATCGACCGGGCGTCGTACGCCAGACTTAGAGGGTGAGAAAAGAAAAGGCGCGAGAGGTGGCGGAAGACGGGTCCAAGATTCAGATGATCAAGAAAGGGAAATGGGCGCGCGAAAGCAAGGCGGGAGAGAGAGAGAGAGGGAGAAGGAAAAACAGTTACGGGGAGAGAGAAAAACGAGGGAGAAGGGAAGGGAGGCGCGAGAGGGAGCGATGTGGGGGACAGAGAGGAGGAAGCTTTTGCATGCACGGCGCCGTCAACAAAAAAAAGGAAAAAGGCACCGAAACAGTTACAGCTTGCTTCTATCCTARTTCAAAATTGAAATCACCATATCCGCGCGCGAAAGAGCGACRCGGGAAAAAAAAATCCTACGTCTGTTCGTATTCACGCAAAATTCCGAGAGTTTTCCCCGACGCGCCCAAGAACATTCACATACCCAAAAAGGACACGTCGAAGTTCCGCTTATCCCGGAATTCCCAACTACCGAGCCCAATTCCCAGTGCGCTCGCTAAGGCGCACGTAMATTCCCATATATTTTCCGACTTTGCAAGAAGAAAAACAGAACTCGGCAGTCGAAAAAGCTCTCAAAAAGGAAAATGCGGCACCCGAAATCAAGAACTCAAAATGGGGTTTTCCTGGGGTTGGTATGATACAAGCAAAAGAAAGGGTACGAAAGATGGCACGGGGTCGGGAAGTGGTTCGTCACAGGCTTGACATCAGTYGAAAATTCAAAAACGATACTCCCTCGCGATGATCACGCCAAGAATCCCCAGTGCTCACAGCAGAACAAGAAAGAAGCTATGGTACAGTTATTTCTCGCGCTTGTCATGGCGCGACCACCCAACCGTTGGCACGGGATTTTCCCTACACTGATCCGACAACTTCCAGCAGAAAACGAAAAGAAACAAGGACATTCATGCAATTTGCCCGCCCGACCCATCTTCTCACAGTTCACCCATCCGACYCGTCGTATTTCCCCARGCAGCTTCGCGCAGAAAGTCGCGCGYTCACAGAAAATAGTTCGTCACAATGCTAGGCGGGACTCAGAGTAGCCGGAGCAACTTATATCGGTACTCTACCCTAGAACTAAGCCATGCATGAGTAGACCCCGTCATATACCTGATATACCCCCCCAGCCCGGTATCATAGTCGTGTGTAKATGTGTGCCCAGAGGCTATGTATGTTTGTATGAGCCCATAGGCTRTGTRTATATRTKYWCRMG